AATCCCTCCCAGGTCCATTCCTTTTCCTCCTGCCTGTGGGCTGCAGTTGGGGGAGGGCTTGAGTCCTGCTGGATGACGGCTTTGCCACTTTACCCTTTTCTGTAGGGTCTTCTCTTCTTCCCAGATGTAGGTAGTCAGTTCTGCCGTCTTCAGGTCATTTTCAGGTTTGGTTATATTTGCTATATATTCGTGTTCTATGTGCTCTTGGGAGGTGGTTTTTGCCTTGCCTTCTTAGTCTGCCATATTTTTCCCAGAATCCCCTGTGGTTTTCTTTTTAACATATACAACTCAGGAATAGCCATATGGAAGAAATGCATAGGGCAAGGAATGGGGAAAGGATGCAGAGCTTCCATACCCTCTCCAGGCATGCTACCCTCAGATCACCAGCATGTGTTCACCAACATGGAAGTTCTCTGAACTCTGTGATTCAGGGATTTTTATGGAGGCTTAATTACCCAGGCATGATTGATTAAATCACTGGCCATTAGTTCAACCTCCAGCTCCCCTCCCCTTCCCAGAAGTAAGAGGATAGGAATGAAAATTCCAACCCTCTAATCCTGGTTGGTTCTCCTGGCAACAAGCTCTCATCCTTAGGGGCTTTCAAAAAATTATCTCATTAGTATAAACTCAGGTGTGGTTGAAAGGGGCTTCTTATGAATAACAAAAGATACCTTTATTATTCCTAACACTTAGAAAATTCCAAGGGTTTTAGGAGCAATGTGCCAGGAAAGAGACAAGTAACAAATATATATTTCTTATTATAAATCACAATATCACAACAGAGATAACAAAAGAATTCATTAGTGAATGAGCAGTTGTCCTATTGCAGGAAAAAAAAGAGACTGATGGTTTTACAAAGATGGTAAAAGACCCTGGGATAGAATGTTGTGTTAAGTGAAAGAACAAACAGGAGAGTCATATTTCAGGGTGAAGCTGTCGGCCTGTGAACACTAGCATCATAAAAACCAAGGAGGAGCCATGGCTTAAGAAAGTTGTTATGCAATCCACTTGTACTCAGAAACTTGAGATGGTCTTCTATTTGAGGGTAAAACAGGGTAACTGTTACTTGAACTAACATCTATCCTGGTATACACTTTTTCAAGGACTTCTGGTAAAAATTTGTGAATCATATTGTAGAAATTTCTCCTTAAACTGTTTTGCTCTTTGGAAGGGTCCAAGATTAGTCTCATATATTTTATTAAATAATTTTTAGTATTATTATGGACTAGTTATGATACTGAGAAGGAAACAGTAACACCTGCAACACTTTCCTTCCCTCTAGAAGTCAGTCTATGATCTTCATGTTTCTTCTCCTCCCACCTAACTAGCTCTACCCACAATTTTTCACTATCTCAGTTAATGACCACTTCATCTACCCTTCAAGTTGTTCAGACCCAGAAATGCCCACAAACTGCCTATGTGACTCCATTTTTTCTCTCAAGCCCTACATTACTGCTCAGTAGTCATGTTCTTTCTTTCAGAATATAAACTGAATATGACAATTTCTTACCACTTCCATCACTGACACTCTGATCCAGGCCATCTTCATTTATCCCCTAGGCTATCACAATAGCCTCTTAATTTATCTCTTTTCTCATCATAGTTGATTCTCAACATGGCATAATACTGCTTTGTGGCCTTTGTACTTGTTTTCTTGGCCTGGAATGTCCTTCTCATAGATATCTGTATAGTTTGCTCCTTCATTCCCTTTAAGTCTTTCCTTCTTTGCAGTGAGGCCTGCTCTGAATAACCCATTTAAATTCCCCAGGCATCCTCCATTTCCCCTATCCTAATTTAATTTACTTCATGCTCTGTATTCTAACATTATGTAATTTTTAAAATCGTGTTTATATTGTCTATCCCCCCACTCCTAAAATGCAAGCTACACCTGGGCAGATGTTTTACCTGTTTTGTTCACTGCTATATCTTCACATCTAGGACAGTACATAGTATATGATTACAACTGATAAACATATGTTGAACTAATGAACAGTGGAGACATATTTAAGCATATTATAACACCATGAGAAAGTGCTAATAGAGGAATGAAAAGTGCTGTTGATGAAATGGACAAATGATTGCCACACACATTTTAACCTTTGCTTGGGTTGTTTTCTCATTTGGAATGCCTGCCTTGATTGCCAGACTGTGCAGACCATACCAAGTCTTTAGGGATCATCTTGCAAGAGGCCTTCGTGGTGTTCTCTCTCTCTCTCTCTCTCTCTCTCTCTCTCTCTCTCTCTCTCTCTCTCTCTCTCTCTCTGTCTCTCTCTCCCTCTCCTCTACCACAGCACATGCTTAGATGCTCCCATGCACTTATTTAACACTACCTTGATCCAGAAACATTCATATTCTTGTCTTCTGCTTGTCTGCTAAATTATAAACTCAATAGAATCAGTGACTTCATATCTTTCATCTTTGAACATTCCACAGAACCTCATTCAGTACCATAATAAATGCTTACTGTATAAATAAATGAATGAGTTAAACTGAAGGCATTATTTTTTTGTCCTTAATGTGCATTATCTGAAAACAATCTTATAAGATTATAAAAACTACTTATACTAGCTTTGCTAGTTAGGGAATGTGTCTCAAAATTTGGATTAAGATTAAAGTCACTTTAGTATCTTACAGAGTGAATCTCCAAGGAGATGGTAATTCTTGAAGTGGTACATTTCTAGGTAAGATTGCTTTTAAGGTGAATGTGTAAGACATAAATACTGATTGTTCTCTTTTCAATAATTGTAAAAGAGAATAGAATTCAGACTTCATAAAAGTGTGTGCCACCTGGGGTGACTGTCATTCCTTATAAGCAATTTTCAAGTCCAGGTTTTTTTCTCTAAGCACACACTTCCAAATTATAAAGACAGTGGAAACTAAGATTCTATTTACAAATAAGCCCTATAAATAACTTTCCAGAAGCATAAGAGATAACAGTTTCCTCCCACTTTCAAAAAAGTATTTTAACAACTTATATTCAGTTTGAGACTTTGTACTTCTAAGACAATGGGATACCTTTAGGGGTGTTTCATAACTAAAATAAAAGATCAAATGCTGCCATAGCTTAAAGAGTTAATGTGTTTGGGGTTTTCAACTAAGGTGGAGTCAGGCAAACAATGTCTAGTTTCAATGTGTAATTCCTGTTCATTTTTTATTCCTTTCTCTGTCTCTGCCCCTCTTGCATTTAATAGCACCGGTTAGCCCTACTCGCTTTTACCTCCAGTAATGAGCCCTCTTTTAAAAGAACTATGGCTGCCTCATACGCTTGTACAAGCAATAACCCTGATTACTCTTAAATCCATTGTACCAGATCTACCTATCCTAAGATGATAGTCTTCAAGAAAATGTGTAATTTAATTTGTAATATATTATGATAGACTTAGATTACCCCTTCCCCAAAAGAATATTCATAGTAATAAAGAATTCCTTGCAGTTCAGATATTTATATATGAAAAACTTAATTTCTGATCTTGCAAGAAACCATTTCAAATCATTGCTTTAGAAATAATTTTTAATTTGTAGTCGTAATAAATCTAATAAACAATTACATTTGAATAGCACTTTACTATTTTCAGTTATTCTCATTTGCATATGAGGAAAAATTATGATTCAGAGAAGTAAAGGTCAGGTTTTATAGGTAGAAAAAGGACTCAACCTCTACTCTCATGATTTCACATCTCTTGATTTCTCTAGAATATTACAATGCGTTCTACCAGCATATCACAGATCAAATATATTCAGTGGAAATGATGGCAGTACACTCAATTCTTGGTAGAGGGTGGAAAATAAAACCTAAGAACCATATATATTTGCTTTCCCTAAGTCCAATTTCCCTTTTAACAATGTAAAACTCTAGAAAGCTGCCAATACCTAGAATAATTCTTGTAAAAGTCAGTTAAAGTAAGGGCTTAAGCCCCAACCTGAATACCACCATCGCCCAACAGTTCTGCTGGACTATCTACAATTTGTGGTCGGTACTTAGTTTCACTAGGCTGCAACTCCTTAACACAGGGCTATGTCTGCCTTCTTCACTTCATCCCCAGCTCCTGCAAGGGCCTGGCTTGTTCAATGTAAGTGAATGGATTCAAAACAGAACAAGTAAGCCCGACCAGGACCAGTGCTCTGGAAACTTCTGGGTCCTTCTGAGTCAGGACACCCACGCACAGGCTTGTGCTCTGGGCTTTTCCCCTGCCAGGCAGCACCGGTGTGGCTGTCTACAAGACATTAAGCGTTTCTGTGCTCCTGTTTCCTCCTCTGTACAATGAGCAAGACCCAAGTACCGCCTGGGCGACTGTGAGTTTAAATGAGCCCATACTGGAAGGCAGGGGCCCCACAGCAGTCTGTTTACTGGGAGGATGCTCCCCGCCAGACAAGACGACATTGCTCACCCTGCGCTGTAGGACGCCGCACCCGTTTTCGGCCATTAATTCATTGGCTCTCACAACCATTTTCCAGAGCCCACTTCTCCGCCTGGGGCGGTCACCCGCGCTTCCTAATCCTCACAGCGGACGCCTAGACCACAGTCCTCAAAAGCAGATATCCAAGAACGTCCTATTAACCATTAATTCGGTCCTAAATTCGGACGCCTCGTTTTCCCTAGAGGCCTCGGGGTGGAACCTAACCTACGCGGGCCTGGCGACACCGGGACACCCGGCCCCGTGCTCCTCAGCCGAGGGAAGATACGGTCACTCCCGACGCCGGCCCGCGCACAGTGGGCCCACTGCGCCCGCGCGGGAACATCGTGCTCGGGCGTCCTCAGGCGCCTCGGGGCCCACTACGCAGGCGCGGGAGCACACCCGGCGCCCGCCGGGCGGGAGGATCGGGTAAGGCTACCCGCTGGGCAGCGGTGCGCCGTCCAGGGCTTCTCCGCCTGGCCGGGACGCGGGACTCCCTCCCAGCCGCAGGCGCACGGATCAGCACGGAGAGGGGCCCAGGGGCGGCCGCCAGCCCACCCCGAGGAGCGTCCGCGCCCTCCCTGCCCGCGGCGGGTCGCGCTGTACCTCGCCATACCCCTGGCTCTGCTTTCTCATATAGACGTGGGGGAGCTCTGCTGAGGCGGCCAGTGGGTAGATGTTGCCGACAAACGGCAGCCCCGACGGCCCCGGGGGGAAGCCCGACGGCCGCCTCTGCTTCAGCAGTTGGCGGACCCCCAGCGCGAAGAGCAGCAGGAAAAGCGCGCCCCCGAGCGCCGCTGCGCACGCCTCAGCTCCGCGAGGTTCCCACATGGCTCGGGTTCGGGGCTACGGCTGCGAATCCCCCGGTCTCCGACTGGAGCTCATCCTCCACCCCCACCTCACTCTCATTGGCCCATACGCCGAGGTCCCACCCAAGATCTAAGGCCATTGGCTGGCCGAACGTAGAGCCTTGGGGCCGACACAGACAGTTACCCCTGGCTTCAGACAGGTACACTTGGCTTTTGCCCAGCTCGGAGTCCGTAGGGCAGAGGCGGGTGCGACCCTTTGGATCTGGGCGTGGCTGTAAGCGAGAAGAGCCTGGCGAGGCACCAAGCCTGGAGGCCTATTCCAGGGTGTTGACATCAGGGCATTGCTGACTTGTCTGCACAGATTCACTTTCTCGGCTGGCTGGGTCTTGCCTACCTTACTGACAGCCCTTCCTGAGGGTGTCATTTTTAGATACCAGGTCTATTTATCTCAGACTAAGAAATCTGGAGATATTATTAGCACTGCAGTCTTTAGCTGAACCGGATAATCTTCAGAATATCCACTAGAGAACTGACTCATTAATATAAAAAGAGAATCTAATTGGCCTTTGTTATTCATTGGTTCTTTCTTATAAGGCATTTTTGTGTGTGTCAACCCCTTAAGAACTGTGATTATTAAATATTTAAGTAAGCTGAGTTAATTACATATCTTTCCACCCTTCTCTGGTCTTCCCAACTGGTTACTTCCTTGCAACCACAAAGGACTTTCTGATCTGTAATTGTCCAGGGATAGTACTTCTTATTGAAGCTTTTTGCCTCCACTACTTAAAAGTAAGCAACTGACAGTCTATTTGGAAATTCCTTTTTGGTATTTCTGTTTCATTCCTGTTTTCTGTTGGGCCAGTTCTTGCAATACAGAACCTACCAAGGCATGGGACTCTTCAGGCAACTACTCTTTGTGATTTAGCTGGGACAAGAGTGTTCTGATCCTCATTAGCTTAAGGCTTATTTATACAACAAATACTTACTGAATGTCAATCAGGCAATGGGGTCCTAAACAATGGAGATTCCTAGGTGAAAAGAGTAACAAAATCCTTACCCACCTATAATTTACATTCTTGTGAGAGGAAAGAGTAATAAGTGTAAAACAATTTCAGATAATAATAAGCAAATGAAAATAAAGTGTGTTACAGAGAATTCCTGAGTATGGGGAGATATTTTAGCAGGTGAGAGATGTCAACTAAATTCTCTTTTTTAACGATGACATTTGAACTTGGATGGAATGATAAGGAGTTGTTAGTTTCCTACTGCTGCTTTCACAAGTTACCACAAACAGTGGCTTAAGAAAATACAAATTTATTTATTGTCTTACAGGTCTTGAGCTCAGAAGTCCAATGTGGGTCATCCTAGGCTAAAAGCTAGGTGTTGGTAAGACTGCATTCCTTCTAGAGGTTCTAGGGAAAAAATCTGTTTTTTTTTTCTGAAAAACCCTTTTCTAGTTTCTGGAGGCTCCCCACATTCCTTGACTTGTGTCCCCATTCCTCCATCTTGAAAACTGGCAACATCAGGCTGAGTCTTCTCACATTGGATATCTCTGACTCTTATGCCTCCCTTTGCACATTCCATTTTGGGCATTCACAGTTGTCTTGCATCAGATCAAAATGGGAAGGAGTGAGAGAAGACATGCCTAGCCAAGCCATATTGGAGCCTGAGGCAAAAGAAAAAAATCAATAATATTGATCTTTGCTTATTAAAAATGTGTTACCTTGTTCATCATGGATTTTTACATTAATTTTTATTTTAAGGTGGTGCATTAAAATTTTCTCTTTGATTACTGGGCTTTTTGATGCCCCCTTAAATTTTGCTCCCAACATAAATGCCTCACTTGCCTCACCCTATCTTGACCATGGAAGGCAAAATATTCAAGTGACTTTGATGAGAAAGTGGTATGGACAGTTCATCTCCTTGGATTTTCCTGGTGCTCCTAGGAGCCAGGCAATGAGGTTGGGCAGGCAGAGCAATGGCACCTCTGGGTGGGATTTGAGAGGCCTTATGAAAGTCTCTCTTTGACCACTAAAAAACGTTCCCACCTTGTCTGAAGTTCAGTTTTTACCAGTTCATTTATAAGTTAAAAATTCTCCAAAACAGAGTTGGAAAATTTAAACCCTAATGGCAAGAGAGAATAGTGATAGGAAGTTCCTAAAACTGCGTTTGCACATGACTGAGTTTATTCCAGAATTTTCTTAGAGGCAGGACAGAATGGGAGGCATAATAACATTGATTTGTTGAAGGTGGTTGCATGGTGATGATGATCGTGGTGAGTATAGAGTTTCAAGAAACGGATGAAGAAAGAAAAAGGAGGGTTTCATTGAAAAATTTTTTTCTGTTCACAATTCTTCCAAAGTCTAGATGGCTGTAGAGACAATGCATTTATTCCCAGAGTCACTCCTGCCATTTCTTAGGGATGCTCAGCTAATCACTCACTGCCACTACCTCTCCTCGGATTCTCTAATCTTAATACCTTCTATCCTTTCCTCATATTTAAATAGTTTAGAAGTCTAAAGTGGATGAACACTTTGTTTATCCTTGAAGACGTTTTCCCATTGTGGAGCCTGAGATTCAGAGGAGGTAAAATACTCTGTCCAAAGTCATGTAAGACAGCACTAGCAGAACCAGAAATCTGGGCTCCAGACTTGCCATTTGTTCCTGCGGTCATTCATCACAAAATTATTGAACACCTATTAGACTAGGTGCTGGGGTGGGGGGTGGTAATGGTGGGCAAAACCAGTCATGGCCTCCACTTTCCTGGGATTTATGGTCTACTAGGGGATGCAAACATCAATCAAGTAATCACAAATAGATATAACACTACAAAAGTTAAGTTTTCTGAAGTAAAGAACAGTTCTATAAGCATGTATATCACAGGAAATGTGATCAATATTTGAGGTCAGAAATTACATTCTGGGCCATAGAACTAGCTTATACTCAGGGAGTTATCTTCCCCAGGATCATGTCCACTGCAAGTTTTACTGAAATTTTTCAAAAGCTACTGGTCCCCTATGGGACACTGAGTGCCACAGAGAAAGGAAGAGGAAAGTGGATGTAATAGAATCCATTCTTTAAAGTTTGTGAGTATCATTCAGCCACTGCAGTCCCAATTTGGAGAATTCTTATTCTTGCTTTGGAAATGATTTGATAAACATTCTTATTTTGTGCTTCCAGAATCAGTAACTTTGAAGAACCAACATAAACAGTAGATTAAACTGATTGAAAATGCTCATCAAAGTTATTTTAAGAACAGTCTTACTAAAGAGTGTTAGGAGGAGTGTATAGTGTGTGGTTGGAAGATTGGCTAAGATTCTAAAACACAAAGAAAAATTCTCCTAAACTTGAAGGATGAACTTCAGTTATATAGAAAACATGCTCAGGAGCCCTAATTCTCTGACAGTTGATGAAAGACAATAATGATGACATGAAACATCATGATAATTGCTTGCTGATGAGGTGGGCGTGCCTGGCCACTCTCCCTGCTTTTATTTTCTAGATCAGGAATTGCAGGGGGTATAAAAAGACAGTCATCTGGCATTTGCCTCTGAGCCAAAAAATAATTTTATTTATTGTGGAACACAATCTGAGCAATTCTTTAATGTCATTTGTGGAACTTGTTCACCTCTCAGAGTCACCAACCTGGGTCATCATGGTGCATCTTTGACCATCATCCTTAACTCACTTGCTTCCAACAATTTTCAAAATATCTTCTAGCTTTCAGAAAAGACATTTGTAGGTCACTGGTGGCACAGGAGATTTACTTCTGAAGGATTTTGGAGACCAGCATTTTGAATATGAAATCAGGAGTGGACAATTTTCTGAGCCTGCAGGAGATGAAGGACCAGTAAGACTTCCCATAGGAATGCCTGGCTTCTACTTTCTACCACCCCAGGCCTTCTCCAGACTGTCTTCCCTATGGAGCCTTATCCAAATGCTCTGGACCATTATCGCTTCCACATCTGGGCCACTTCAGCATTTATACTCCTTATCATTCAGATCAGCACTCCTTTCAGTGTCTTCTCTTTTTCATTAATCGTTTCATGATTTGAGTTTGGATGTCTGGAAGGTAGGATCCTTGCTTTATTCTTCTCCTGAATCCCAACAGAATAATACATGGTCAGGCACACCATGGGCCCTGAATCCATGCTGGGTGATTGGCTGGATACAGCCAGGAAGTCTCCTCTGCTGGGACTCCTCTCTATGGCGCCTGTAAAGAGAGTGTTTCAAGCCAATTTGCAGGCTCCAGCAGAAGAAGATATGTTTTATTTTTATTTTAATTAAAAAAATTTTTTATTAAGCTGTCTCTGATATACACTCTTATGAAGGTTTCACAAGAAAAACAATGTGGTTATTACATTCACCCTTATTGTCAAGTCCTCCCCCATACCCCATTGCAGTCACTGTCCATCAGTGTACTAAGATGCCACAGAGTCCCTATTTGTCTTCTCTGAGCTATACTGTCTTCCC